GATGAAATTCCAAATTCCCAAAAGAATTAACTGGTTCTGGGGCTGGAGCAATAGCACAGCGGGTAGGGCATTTGCCTTGCATGCAGCCGACCTAGGTTCGATTCCCAGCATCGCAAATAGTCCCCCGAGCACCGCCAGGAGTAATTCCTGAGTGCATGAACCAGGAGTAATCCCTGTGCATCGCCGGCTATGACCCAAAAAGCAAAAAAAAAAAAAAAAAAAAGAATTAACTGGTTCTTTCAATCAACATACACACAAAAAAAACCCAAAAAGCCCACATATCCCAATTTCTATAGGAAACAGGTAGAAGCTCAACTTCAATAACTGACAGTTACCAAATCCTAACGGTATGGGCTTAACCACATGGACCATACTCCCTTCCTATTTCTGTGAACTTTAACTTTCCTGATTTCTGATTAACACTCCACTCACTTACTTCCCCATTTGCTCCTTCCCCTTTCTCCACCTCATTCTCCTTTTAAAACATCTGCTTACTTCGGGACAAAAAAAAATTGAGTTCAACTCACACTGGATTCTCTAATCTGCTGCACGATTACTGAATATTGTTTTAGCTATATTGTACAGCCTTTTTTTCTGACAAGACACAGAAAAGCACTTCATAAAATCCATGATCCATTTATGAACGAAACTTTCAGAAAACTAGAAATAGAAGGGAACTCTCTCTCTCTCTCTTTCTCTCTCCTCTCTCTCTCTCTCTCTCTCTCACACACACACACACACACACACAATGTTTAAAGAATGTTTTCCCGAAGATAAAAAGTGGGAAAAAATAAACTACAAATCACAATGTAAGGAATAATAAATTAGTCGATAAGTGAGTAATAAATGAATCAATAAATATAAGGAGTAATAAATAAGTCAAAAGCAACTGGGAAAAACAAAAACAAAGCAATGTAGATGGCAACAATCAAGCAAGATCCTCCCTGGAGAAAAGAATAAGCAAAATCAGCAGTGCTGAATCAGAAAAACAGGATAATTTGGAAAAGGTCAATCCCAAAGAACAAGAGTAGTAAGGGAACAAGCCTGGGAAAATACAATAGGAAAAGAACATGATAATTTAACCTTTAGCAGCAAACCCTGAGAGAACTGAAGTGCACTCTAACATTAAAAGTATTTGTAAAAAAAAAAAAGATAACAGAATATAAGATTCTAAAATTCCCCACCAAGAAAAAGACAGTCACCAAGAATAGCATAATAACTGTTTAGACTAGAAAGCAGGATATTCTTTAAAACAAAACAACTATAAAGAATACATTTCTAACAAAATAGGAGACTAACACCCAAGAATGGCTGAGATTAGTACCAGGAATTTTACTCCATGGCTTGGAGGCCAACCTCACATGCTAGGGGAAAAGGGAGCAGATAGAGAAGGGAACACCAAATAAAGGTGTTGGGAGGATCCTCCCAGGATGGGAGAAGCATACTGAAAGTAGACTATAGACCAAACATGATTGTCACCCATTGCCTCTTTTGCAAACCACAACACCCAATAAAAGAGAGAGAACAAAAGGGAATGCCCTGCCACAGAGGCAGGGTGGGATGGTGGGGATGGGGGGTGGGAGGGATACTGGGATCTGTGGTGGTGGGAAATGGGCACTGGGGGAGGGATGGGTATTTGATCATTGCATAATTGAAACCCAAGCACAAAACTTTGTAAATCTAAAACTGTACTTCATGATGTCTCACTAATAAAAAAGAAATGAATACATTTCTTTTGAAAAAAAAAGAAAAGAACCATCATGTTAGGTTTCTAAATACAGAACAAGGTCTAGAAGACAAGGGATCAACACTTATAAAAACATTTAGAGAAAAAATACTCAAGAAGAATTTATTTACTTCATTAAGAACATCAACTGAAATTCTTTTGTAGATTGTATACCACTCCTTTTACCTCCCAGTGGTTTCAATGTCTCCCAAATTGAATATATTTTGTTTCTTTTTCATCAACTATAGTGCCTACTGTGTAAAACTATTAACTCTTTTTAAAACTTTACATATAGGCTCTTAGAGTGAGTACTAAGAGAATCATGCATTTAATAAGCATAGATAAAACTGTCCCCATGTTAACACTGGGATATATGATTCAGGAAAACTGCAATGGCTCCCTCTCTATCACGAAAGTCAAACAAAAAAAACTGTTATTGATGTATAAATACTGGATGTTCTCTCTTACATACGGTGTATAGAGGAGCAAAGCAAGAGAATGGAAAGTAACAAATGTGGACAAAACCTTGGTCCTATATTATAGAAATGACTGTCAAGGAAGGGAAGAATGGAGCTGGGTAAAAGAGGCAGCATGGTGATAATATAGGCATTGGTCAGGGGCCTTGGACACTTTGGTGCTGCTAGGGGCAAGGTAACTATATACATCAAGACTGTAAGAACCTTTGGAAATATTTTCCAAACTATAACAAGCAAAATTTTTTTAATGAATTTAGTAAGGAGTTGGGGTGGGTGAGAGGGAATCTTGGAACATTGGTGGAAGGATGCTGATGAAAGGTTTGGAGTTGGAACACTGTATGCCTAAAACTCTATTAGTAACAATTTGTAAATTACAATGACTAAGTTTTTTAATTTACTGATACTGAAAAATTGTATGTATAAAACCCAACACTCAATAACGTTTTTCAAATTTTTTATTTAAAGAATCATAGTTCTTTAATTAAATGTTAAAAAAAATTAAGTTACTGATATAAAGAACCGTTGTGACTATAAGATAAATCTTACCGTGCAGTTCAGAAAACACTAAAAACTGCATTTTAAAAATCTGTTTTGAACTCACTGTACCAGGGAAACTAGATAAGAGAACACAAGGTCCACTGGGAAAAAATTACCTTCTATACCAACCTTGGTACCACTTTTCACTGGGGAAGAGAGAAGGAAGGAAAGCATCAAGGAAGCCAGAAGGAAGGTATGGCCATGCAGAGCTTCTCTCTTTCCTTTCTTCCTCTCCCAAGCACAGCAGGTTCAGAAATCTTACCCCAAAATTCTGTTTTGAACTCATTTTGCCAGGGAAACTAGATAACAGGACACAGATCCACTGGAAAAAATTTACCTTCTGTGCTAATCCTAAAACCACATTTCAGACCCTAAAAATCCATAAGCTTTTTTTCAAAGCTGTACAGGTTGTTGCTAAAACTCTTAGGGAGACCTCCAGTTCCTATCTCAGCATCTCCTCCTACTTGTATCCTCACTATGGTGCCGTGATTTGCTAAACTGTCCCACAATCGGCCGCTTCTACTTAATGTTCAAGCTTTTCTGTTTTACCTTCTGTTTCTAAAGGAGTCACTCCTGCAATGTCACCTAAAAGCTCAGTGCTTGGAGCCTGGCAAAGGGGATCCATGCAGTGCAATGGATCAAAACCAAGGTTTTTTTTTTTACATGTGAAGTTTGTAATTTATCACAGGGCTATCTCCTTGGCCCCACGCTATCCTACTTTTATCTCTTCAAGCTCATCCTTCACTAACCTTTGGAATTTCAGCATGAAATATTTCCACTGGGACACTCGACTCCAATAGAGGCTCTTTCTCCTATGAAGAATTAGGTCACTCAAGAACTATTCCAATTTTCTATGTGAATACTTTCTCCAAGAAGCTATTCTTGATGCCCTGAGCTGGAATGAGGGAGTCCTCAAAAAGTTATCCTTAACCCCCCTGAACTGGAATTATGTGGTCCTCAATGTCTACCATTCCTCTACCTTTTATACGTATTTAACTGTCAGGCTAAATCATAAACCATAAACAAGCAGAGACAAGCCCTATAACACAACTGTATCTTTATAGGTAGCAAAGACTATACCTATAAGACATCTACAGAGCTTTCTGTGAGTAAGTTTACCCTTTGTGGACAGTAGACACAAGGGCCAGGAATACTGCCCAATATCTGGAAGCCTGTCTCATGAGCTGGGAAAGAAGGCAGGTGGAACAGAGAAGGGATCACTAATATGATGGTTGGAAGAATCAATCGGGATGGGAGATGTGTGCTGAAAATACATGCCCAAACGTGATAACCTCTCAGTATCTGTGTTACAAACCATAATGCCCAAAAGTAGAGAGAGAGTATGAGGGAAATTGTCTACAATGGAGGCAGGGGGAGGGTGGTAAAGGGGGAAGTATACTGGGGACACTGGTGGTAGAGAATGTACACTGGTGGAAGGATCGGTATTTCATCACTGTATGACTGAAACTCAAACATGAGGGGCTAGAGTGATAGCACAGCGGGTAGGGCGTTTGCTTTGCATGTAACCGACCCGGGTTCGATTCCCAGCATCACATATGGTCCCCTGAGCACCGCCAGGAGTAATTCCTGAGTGCAAAGCCAGGAGTAACCCCTGAGCATTGCTGGTTATGACCCCTCCCCCCCCAAAAAAAGGAAACTCAAACATGAAAGCTTTGTAACTGTATCTCACGGTCTCAAGGTAATTCAATGAAAAAAAAAAAGTTTTACCCTTTATAACTGTTCTGAGAATCAAAAAGAAAATTCACTTATCTTCAGTGCTTTTCAGAGAAATAACAAGGTACCATTAACCTATGATGATAAGTCATGCGTAGCCATGGCGGTGTAAGACAGAAACCAAAATCTGAGTACCTAGACAACTACTATAAGATGCATGCCTCTTTTGCAAACCACAACACCCAAAAGGAGAGAGAGAACAAAAGGGAATGCCCTGCCACAGAGGCGGGGTGGGATGGGGGGATGGGGGGGTGGGAGGGATATTGGGACCCGTGGTGGTGGAAAATGGGCACTGGTGGAGGGATGGATATTCGATCACTGTATAATTGAAATCCAAGCACAAAAATTTGTAAGTCTACAACTGTACCTCATGGTGTTTCACTAATAAATTTTTTTTTTTTTAAATCTGGGTAAACTTCAAAAAAAAAAAGTATCTTATCAGAAAAAATCTCGAACTCCAGAGCTTATAAATCTAAACCATTTTTTAATTTTAAAAAATCATGAAACTAAGAATATTCTCTCATTACCTGCTCTTCTCTCTCCTTTTCTTTGGTCTTACTTCTGTATACTCTAACGGAGGGGGCATCCTGAGACGGAATGGCAGAGATCTGATGCAGTGGCATGCTCATCCCAGCCTCCTGTCTGATCGTCTTCTTTACGGCAGAGAGTGTCCAGTGGTAGAGTCATTTTGGGCCATTGACTTCAAGCTAAGAGATAGAAGACAAGATCATACAAAGCTGAGCTACAACACCTTTTAACTTAAAAAAAAGTCGGCATTTCATATTTATAGTCAGATTCGTATTCAGATTAAGTTACAATGTTTGACAAAAACATTCTTGGTCTTCAAAAGTGGGAAAATATTAGTATTTTTGGGGAAAACTAACTTTTTCACATAAGATGAGAGCACCTGAAAGAGGCTAGTGTACCAGGTACATGGAAAATCAGGTATTAATTTTCCACTGACTACTTAGTTTTTAAATATAGCACTGTTATCCTATAGTATATTGAACTTAAACTTATTTTCTTAAACAAGCATTCATCCTGGTAGAAGTAGTGGTCTGCTTATTGCCCCTAAATGATAACAAACTGTCACTGTCACTGTCCTCCCGTTGTTCATCGATTTGCTCAAGCGGGCCCAGTAAAGTCTCCATTGGAGACTTTGTTGTTACTGTGTGTGGCATATCGAATACGTCACGGGGAGCTTGCCAGGCTCTGCCATGCGGGCGAGATACTCTCGGTAGCTTGCCAGGCTCTCCGAGAGGGGCGGAGGAATCAAACTCAGGTCGCCCATGTTGGCTGCGTGCAAGGCAAACGCCCTACCGCTGTGCTATCACTCCAGCCCTAAATGATAACAAAATGATCAAAAAATATTTCCATAGAAGAAAATTCATCTCCAAATTATATATCTGAATGTTTACAAATATCTGGAGTTATTTTATTAGGTGCCAAGGATAAACCCAGGACCTCACACGTGCAAGGTAAATGCTCTACCACTGGGTTACATCTCTGGCCTGTAGTGCTGTTTTATGTCAACTCAATTCATTCTTAATTAAATGAAACCATTAAACCCTGACACTCTGCCTGACAAACCATGACAGAGGACTTCAGTTATACTAATGTCAATTCACAAAATACAACACACCTACTAAAAGTAGACATATCTAGAACAACTGCACTGACAGATTTTCTATATTTTGGAATATAGAAATGGGAAAGAGCACAGAGTTAGGGGCACTGAATTCATGCAATCTATGGGTATAGCTCTATAGGTCCCTAACCAAGTCTGACCCTAGCAATGAATCATCTGGCCCAGTTGGCCAACTACTGTTGGAAGTGGCCCCAGGAATTCCTGAGCACTTCTTGGGAGTACCAAAAAAGGAATATGGAAATGAATACTTTGTGTTCATAGAACAGAATACTTACTACTGGTAAACAGAAGTTCTTCTCAAATTTATAAAGCAATTCCAATTGAAAATAAAATTTCTTTGCCAAAATCAGATCAGCACAACCTAAAATTCTTATTAAAATTCAAGGAACCTCAGCAGCTTGGAGCAGAAAAGTGAACGGACTATGCGTTAATCCAGGCCATCAAGTCTGCCAGAGGGGAAAGGGTGTTGCCCCATTCGCCCTCTCCTCTCTGGAAAGAAGGATGGCGGCCGCATGGGAGCCTTGTGGACAGCAGGTATGAGCCGGGGGTGTGGGGGCAACTAAAACCTCATGGGAAGGGGGGCGTTCCGGTCCGTCCTTCACGCCCTACCGAGGTCACCAGTTGCCCCCCGCGAGCGGCTCTCCAGCACAGCCACGGCCCCAGAAGCACAAGGACTTAATGCAGAACCCAGCAGCTTGGAGCAGAAAAGTGAAAGGACTATGCGTTAATCCAGGCCATCATGTCTGTCCGGAGGGGAAAGGGTATTGCCCCATTCGCCCTCTCCTCTCTGGAAAGAAAGATGGCGGCTGCATGGGAGCCTTGTGGACAGCAGGTATGAGCCGGGGGTGTGGGGGCGACTAAAACCTCATGGGAAGGGGGGCGTTTCGGCCCGCCCTTCACGCCCTACCGAGGCCACCAGTTGCCCCCCACGAGCAGCTCTCCAGCACGGCCACGACTCCAGACCACAGAAACCAATTTCTTAACTATCTGACTTTCAGTAGAAATACTTCCAGGGTCAATAAGTAAAATAGCAGAAATCCAAAACCAACATTTAATTCTTGAACCCAGCTGTAGAAAGCAAATCACTTCACAATGCTTTTTCAGCATGTCTGATTGGGGGAGGGGGGAAAACTCTAAATAATAGTGGTGAATCTTTTATTGAAACAATGAATCTAATCAAAGCAGATAGAGTGTTAACTAGAATTCATCTGCCTCACAGGGACTGGGAGGGGTGGGGGGTGGGGTTTTATTGGGGTTCTTCATGGTAAAAAATAAGTATTGGTAAAGGGAAATGTGTTTGATATTTGCATGACTGAGACCTAAACCTGAAAGCTTTGTAACCTTTCCCACAGTGATTCAATAAATAAATAAATAAATAAATAAATTCAAGGAACCCGTAATATTGAAAATACTCTTGCAAAAGTACAAAGTTGAGGGGCAGAGAGATAGCACAGTGGGTAAGAAGCTTGCAATGCACATGGCGACCTAGGTTCATTTACAACATCATACAAAGTCACTGAACCTCACCAGGAATGATCCCTGAGCACAAAACTGAGAATAGGCCCCAAAACAAACAAAAAAATGGGAAAAGAAATTCTTACCAATATCAAAACATATTATCAGTTCAAAACAGTAAGAGAATATGATACTAAAATAAAGGTAGATATATAAATCAATGGAATAGAATTTATAAATCCTAGATAAATGATTTACAAATCATATAACTGATAAAGAATTTGTATCTAGACCCTAACTTCTTAAACCATGGGCCATGAACCCATATGGATAATCACAAAATGGAATGTGAAGATCTCAAAAAAAACTGGCAAAAGTAAAAGTCTTCTAAAGTGTTAATGACCAAAAATTAATTTAAAAGAAACTGTGGTATATTTACACAACAGAGTACTATGTAGCTGTTAGAAATGAAGTCATGAAATTTACATACAAGTGGTGCTACATGGAAAGTATCATGTTAAGCGAAATGAGTCTGAAATAACGGGATAGACACAGAAAGATTGCATTCATCTGGGGAACATAAAGTAACAAAATCGGAGACTAACACCCAGGAGTGGCCGAGATTAGTACCAGGAATTTTGCTCCATGACTTGGAGGCCAGCCACATGTGCTAGGGGGAAAGGAAGCTCAGATAGAGAAGGGAGAACCAAATAAAGGGTGTTGGGAGGATCCTCCCAGGATGGGAGAAGCATGCTGAAAGTAGACTATAGACCAAACATGACTGCCACTCAATGCCTCTCTTGCAACCCACAGGACCCAAAAGGAGAGAGAACAAAAGGGAATGCCCTGCCACAGAGGCAGGGTGGGATGGGGAGACGGGGGGTGGGAGGGATGCTGGGACCCGTGGTGGTGGAGGATGGGCACTGGTGGACGGATGGGTATTTGATCATTGTATAACTGAAACCCAAGCACAAAAATTTGTAAGTCTATAACTGTACCTCATAGTGTTTCACTAATTAAAAAAAAATCAAATGTAAAAGACAGAATGAGACACCACTCTAATGACACCATTCATATATATTCTTAAGGGAGATAATTATTGGGAAGAATGTACAAAAATAAAACTTTGATATACTGCAGGTAAAAAACTATGCAATTTTGAAAAACAAATAATTCTTCCTCAAAATATTATGGTTACCATATGACCCAATAATCTGACATCTAGGTATTCACATATGACCCCAAAATAAAGGAAATTGATATGAGTGGTAGGATGATGCTAGAACATATGTTAAAAATTCAACTACCATTAACTTTATAATTCAACTATCAATAATTCCATAACTTTGTAAGTCACAGTTCTTCAACAAAATAAACATTTTATATGAAACATACCCTCACAAAAACATGTGCATAGAATTTCATATCCAACACTGGAAGTAAATGATTTTCTCTAAGTTGATAAATGGAGAAATAAGATCTTATATATAACATACTATTAATGAATAAAATGAGTAATATAACATGAATATACCTTACTGACACATTAAATGAAAGGTCTATACATGATATCATTATATCTTTATGACATTCCAAAATAGGTCAATCTATAGAGACTTCTACAAGTAACAATGATTACCAAGGGAAGGAAGGGTTGAAGGAGAATGACAAAGATAGCGGAAATGTCATTTTAGGATTATGAAACATTTTTAAATGAATTATGATGCGTGCATACTAAAAATAAATTAAAAGACAAAAAAGTATATTTTAAATGACTGAATAGCAAGATGATGTGATTTACACCCAGATAATGCTGCTTTTTAAAGAATCTGAAAATAATATGGGTTAAAATCCATAAAATTTTATTTTTCCTTAGTAAAAAGTATTTCTTTTTCCTTAATGCTAACTTTGTCTGTAACTGATATCCTATTGTTTTCTCAGTCTTAAGAAGGGTAACAGGAAGCATATAAAATCAGCAATTGGAAAGCTAAGTTCAACCAGGAATGTGGCTTTGTAGTAGAGATTATGCTTCACATGTGTGAGCCCTGTATTTAATCTCAAGCACAAAAGATAGAAAAACCAAACAAACAATAAAACAAATATTCTCTTGGCAGACTGATAAATTTCAATGGCTGCTTCTTCATCCATAAAACAGACCATGCTATTGCTTGAGTGTACATAGTAATGGGGTAGAGATCCAGTAAGACTGAACCCATGTATACTACTGTAAGGGTTCTTCTCATCAGCACATTTTCTATCCTGCTTTTTCAGGCACCCATAGTGATTCCCCTCTTTCTCTCTCTGTCTCACAAAGACCTGTTTGTATGCTCTGTATTATATTCTATCCTCCTACGCCTCAGTCTCACACTAGATTTATACAACTGGAAGCTCAAATCCTTTCTGGCATTTCTTTAGGGCCTCTAGCAGCATGACTGGGAGGGAAGCAAAGTTGACAATGTAAGCTTTTCATAAGGGAAGAGGCAGGAAGGTCTGATCTAGAAAGACAACCAGATTGCCTTAACAATCAAGTTCTTCTATGTGCTTTCCAGATGGTCAAGAGAAATGAAATATTTTCCCCATTTCAACAATATGCTGAGGACAAAT